TGGTCGACTGTTAGCAAACGCGGCACCCATCTTGCACAGAGCTTTTCCATATGCAAATGTTGGTGCAAAATATGTTGCACACGTTCATATGACATCTTACAGGTCTCAGCTATCTCACGCACTTTCAATCTGCGGTCTCCCAGCACTATTTGATGAATTTTTTCGATCATATCTGGAGTTGTGACCTCAACGGGGCGTCCTGAGCGAGGCCCATCAGAGGTGCTCACACGACCCTTTTTAAACTCGGAAACCCACTGCTTAACGGTTGAATATGACGGGGAGGATGTCCCCAGTGTTGAGTCCATCTCTTTTTTAATTTCCTTCGGCGTTAACCCCTTCAAATAAAAGTATTTGATGACAGCACGATTTTCCTGCTTTTCCATTTTTACGAAAACCACAGAGGCGTCTTGTTCAGCGTGCTGTCAAACCTACACTAGCAAGGAGATCGGGCTGAAACTATAGCTACAAGCTATCCAAGGATGGTACTATAGAATGTCACCTCAAGGTAGGCCTAGTGGCGTCATCTCTTGGTTAGGCCGGAAACTTATCAATCCACCCTCGTATAAGATTCATGGGTTCTCCCTTCGTGAATTCCCGTAAAACTTATGTAAAACTTTTAATAACATTATTAATTACAAACTAAAATTGTAGGTACATTTGAATGATTAAGTAAAAAAAGTCGGTATAATTTCCTGATTCTACCTGTATCATATATTTTATTCATCGTATGGAAAGGGATGAAAAGATGATATTCCTGTTTTTATAGTATCGTACCCGGCGGTCCGTCAAATTAAATTGAACGTGTTATACACACCAAGTGGCTTTTCATAATCCACTCTCTTGTCGGTCGTATTACGTTCTATCGTTAAGCGTAGTACGTCGGGAGCTTCTCCATGTCACAGTTGCCCAGGCAATTTCCCGGTACTATTTGCTTGACAAGAGAAGTTTAAATTCAAAACTGGACACGGATTGGCGCACAAGTGGCCGTAAGTATCGCGTTTTTTGTAGTCGAGTGGTGACCGTAAAATCCACCCTCCGGGGACGTGAAATCGCCTCCTGGAGAGCGCTCCGCGCAATCCGCTTATAGTACGCGACGGCGCCTGTGGTCACCGTCACCTCGCGTCGCGCTGCCGTACGAATAGCTACCGAAAAACTAATTCCATCAGAAACTTTGGCATTAAACTTTCGCATTTCGAAGCTTGTCTCGCAGAAGGATGAATCTCTCTCCGTACGAATCCGTTGATTTCCTCTTTCTCTCTTTTTTATATTTCCCTTTTTTCAGTTACTCTCTCGCTCCCATCTCATTTGCCTCTCCGATGTTCTGGCTTACAGATAAAGAAACTTTTTGCGTTCATGAACTTTTATAAATACTGCTACGGATGTTACTAACGACGACTTTTCGATACCGTAACAACTTCTACTTTTATTGAAATTTTCTTTGCTGGCAAAAAATTTATAAACGAATAATTATTTTAAAAATTAGACTTAAACTTTGTCCGTAAATTTATTACAATTGTAATGATATTTGTCGATAAAAAGAACAAATAAAATTGCAAATATTCGATATTAGAAAAGTCAATTCTTTTGTACTGGGGTGAACGAGGCATTCTTTGCAAAATTTTAAGAATTTTTATCACTTTACCATTTGAAATATAAATCATTACAAATAAAAATAACTATATTTATTAGAAATTAGTAGAATTCACGCATTAACTTCAAGTTTCTGGAGTTCTAGAGATTTTTTATCTGCCTTTTACCTTAAACCATTTTTGAAAATTTTCCTTTTTTCAATTTATATGAGGGGGGGAGTAACACGTCCACCCTACTTTATTATATCTCAAATTAAGGGTTTCTTATTACCGATCTTGTTCCATATCTTGGTCGTCTGCTTACTTTGTGTATAGAGTTTTTCAGCGTCTCTGAGAGCCTCTCTCACAGTCTTTCACAGTCTCTCGGTTATTGTCTAGGTGTTTTTATGGATCTCTTACAGTCTCTGTATCAGAGACTCGAACGATAAAATTGTTAATTCAGATATTCGAGTCTCTCGTTCATAGATTCGAGTCTCTCGTTCAGGGACTGGATATGAAATGAGGATCTCTCTATAAGCGACTCGAGTCTGTCGTTCAGAGACGCTAAACAGTTTTTTTTGACAGTCTCTCGGCAGTCTCTCTCAGCGACACCAGAGAGACTCGATGAGAGACGGAGACTCGAGTCTCGCTTTCAGAGACTCTGAGAGACTGAACATTTTTATCTCGGGATTTTGAGGAAAATTTAACTAGCTTTCTTTGATGCCTTAATAAAAATAATGGGAAGTATCCAAAAGCAACTTTTTTTATACTAAACATTAAGAGTCAAACATGCGCATTGAATTGTTCTTCTCTCATTAAGATTGTTTTAGCGAGACTAGAATTGGGTGATATGAAATAACCTGTACGATCTCATTTGGTATACTTGAAAACGGTCTAGTAAAATAACGATCTTTTCCAAAATTATTGCATTATACAGCAACTCGTCTACTGGCGTATACAGACGATATAATTGGACGGCCGCTAGTCTAGTACAACTAACAGCCAAACGAAACGGTGCAATGTAGAGGGAAACTGTTAGCAGGGTATTTAGCAACCAAAATTTATTCGAATGTACATGTACATGTACACGTACATTCATGTGCAGTTTGGATTGTAAGCGACATTCCGCGTTTGCAATTCTGTGCGGAGACAGCTTTACAGACCCCTAAAAATTATGTGTCATTTTAACCAGCTCTATAGCAGCCGTGGGCAATGCTTCACGGGAGTATTTCGCGAGTTGCACTACCGTAATAATTGAAATTGTAACGTAATAATAATCCTGGTCGTCAGTTATACCTTATATCCCATGTACAAGCCCAAATGGAATTTGTAAATTGTGAAAACATGTACTATTTGAAAAGCTAATTATGACGTAACTGCTACTTTCTTTCTTGGTATACCATTGCCGTATATGCGGTCACGGAATTTTAAATAATAGATCGCCTTGCATCTAAAACGTCACATTAACACAACGAATTGAAAGTGGAGGTACATTTGTCGTCACAAATTATACTTAAAACAATTGAAAATGTAGAACTGCATTAAGAATTGTAAAAGTTTAATTTTTTGAAAAAACTCAAAACAATAAAACTTTTACAACCTTTAAGGATGTTTGGGAGGTATGTCAAAATGCTACGAGACAAATAAAAATTTGGAAGAACGTTCCTCATTCAATTCTAAAACTCGTGTAAAAATTANTCTTCTCACCCTTGTGGAATTAGGGAGGGCCTCCCCGAACGACTTCCCTTGGGCTTAGCTGTTTAGTTGTTCTTAAAAGTGTCTTATACACTTTTCGCGAGTCTACTCTAGCGTCACTTCCTTTCAGACGGGGTACAGCGGAGTTATCTGGAATAGGATGGAATAGCCTCCTGCCTGGCTTACCTTGGCGAAATCTGTCCGATCTTCTCTACCAAATCTATTAGTATTTGCCGTTAGTCCTGTTAATAGCACTATTCGCTTTCAGATAACATGGACGTTCCTGGGCCTTCTGAAGACATCGTATTTTTTTATATTTATTGCATTGATTTGAAATTTCATTCGTTTTCTTGTATTTTTGTTTTCTTGTGTTTCTCTTACAGGTATTTGGTTTTTACTTTATAAACTGTTGTTAAATTAAACCTAACTTAGATCGATGGTTAAAACTTTTCTAAATTATTTTTTTTTGACATAATTATTAAGACCAAATTAAATTTTTATTAGCTTTTCATAATTTATATTCATTTGGGCGGATAGGGTGGCTATAAGGGGAGATGTGGAGGCCACAGAGGGTTAGGGGAGTTTTTTCGCCCCTAACATAGTGTTTGAATATTGATATAACAGTTTATAAATTATTGACTACCATCTGGAGTTGATTCACGTTGATCTTCGTTCGGATTCGAAAATGAAAAGTAAGTTTTATAAGTTTTACATTTAAATACGATAGTTAGTAGAACCTTTTGCCTAATTTCCTACACACATAGTCTACCATTACGATTTATTTTGTTGTAATTGAATATAGAGAATATTTATCTAAAAATTTATTCTGAACTTTGATTGCACGTATTTGAACTCGATAAAAATGCCCTCATAATCATTTTTGGGACTGTTCCACATGTAATAACGTAAATATTAAAATATTAACCAACATATAAAAATTTTGCTAATAATGTTGAGTAATGGCCGAAATTTTCGAAATTATTAAGCAATAATATATGTACACATGTCGATAATTGAAATTTTTGCTCAAAAGTACATTAATAATCGAAAATGTTAATCGTAAAGAATCAATGCTCAATGTTGATAATTAAAACTATTATGCAATAACATGCTAATAATGAAAAATTGTATTTCTTGCCACATTTGCTAATAATGTAGTTAATTCTTTTTTTTTGTCCTTTTCTCTAGTTTGGCCGATGAATAGGAGCCCATTGGAATTTATTTGGAAGATATTTCTTTTGCTGTTGATTTGTTCGCCTTGCAACATTCTACAGTTAATTAAGGTGAGAATACATGTCATAGTTACATTTTACATTTTTAAAAATAATTAAAAATTACTCGTTATTAATGTATTGCCACCCTATCTGTTTCAGATCGACGGTGGAATAGACAACGGCAAACAAAGAAGACTCTGTAGTTAGATTTTTTTAATTTTATTTGAATTAATTCTTTATTTTGCATGTTTTTTTGTACAAAAGTTTATTTTATTTGAATTAGTTTTTGATGTTAGATGTTTTTATTTTTTTTTTAAAGTAGTAGTAGTACTAACATGTTTTTTATTTTAATTTTTTTAGTAGTTGTAGCACCAGTCTAACACGTCTCTTGCTTACCTCTTCGCTTAGCTTACTGCAGTTCTACCTAATTTGCTTTGCATTTACCCTACGAGTTCTACATGATTCAACGTTTCGTTATCGTGTGTGTTCCTTCTCACCCTTGTGGAATTAGGGAGGGCCTCCCCGAACGACTTCCCTTGGGCTTAGCTGTTTAGTTGTTCTTAAAAGTGTCTTATACACTTTTCGCGAGTCTACTCTAGCGTCACTTCCTTTCAGACGGGGTACAGCGGAGTTATCTGGAATAGGATGGAATAGCCTCCTGCCTGGCTTACCTTGGCGAAATCTGTCCGATCTTCTCTACCAAATCTATTAGTATTTGCCGTTAGTCCTGTTAATAGCACTATTCGCTTTCAGATAACATGGACGTTCCTGGGCCTTCTGAAGACATCGTATTTTTTTATATTTATTGCATTGATTTGAAATTTCATTCGTTTTCTTGTATTTTTGTTTTCTTGTGTTTCTCTTACAGGTATTTGGTTTTTACTTTATAAACTGTTGTTAAATTAAACCTAACTTAGATCGATGGTTAAAACTTTTCTAAATTATTTTTTTTTGACATAATTATTAAGACCAAATTAAATTTTTATTAGCTTTTCATAATTTATATTCATTTGGGCGGATAGGGTGGCTATAAGGGGAGATGTGGAGGCCACAGAGGGTTAGGGGAGTTTTTTCGCCCCTAACATAGTGTTTGAATATTGATATAACAGTTTATAAATTATTGACTACCATCTGGAGTTGATTCACGTTGATCTTCGTTCGGATTCGAAAATGAAAAGTAAGTTTTATAAGTTTTACATTTAAATACGATAGTTAGTAGAACCTTTTGCCTAATTTCCTACACACATAGTCTACCATTACGATTTATTTTGTTGTAATTGAATATAGAGAATATTTATCTAAAAATTTATTCTGAACTTTGATTGCACGTATTTGAACTCGATAAAAATGCCCTCATAATCATTTTTGGGACTGTTCCACATGTAATAACGTAAATATTAAAATATTACACTTTAATTTTATGACCTATACACACAGTTCTATAATTCATTGCATGCATAATTTTTTTTATCAGGATTTTATTTTTAACTGTGATAAGTAATTGTCGTTTCTTCTTTTTTTTTGGCAGATTTCTAAACATCAGAAGTGCCCCCCTGCATCAGCTCCAGTTCCCGGAAGTCGACAAAGAACCCAACATCATTTTGATAGTATGTACATATAATAGGTATAAGGCAGTAAAAAGTAACTTGAACGAATGTAAAAATATATTGTTATGTGAAAATGTGGAAGTTTTAATTTTAAATAGGGTTTGTTTTACACTAAAATTAGAATAGTACGTTTAATTCAGTTATGTTTTGCTATATATGTATTATGTTTCTTAAAACTGCATCATGGTTCATTGTATGTACCGAAAGGAACTAATTTTTTGTATTTGTTAATAACTTTAAACATTTTACGTTAAAATGCAAAAGACATTCTTTTACAGTGAAAATAATAGTTAATGTTTCATTACTTTTATTGTGTTCTCCTAGTACCTAATCTGATTATTGTAAAGTGCCCATATTTCATAAATGTGGGTACTTAATTAATTAATAATTATGTAATTTTTAATATACATATCTTAATTAGTTATCGATAAGTGGATCTGTAATGGTTTTTGACAACCAGTAAGTGATGGATTGTAATTTTAGTACAGTTTCAGATTTTCAGTATTGTTTGCTCTTTGAAATATTGTAAAATTGCACAGGTCAACTGAAGCAGGAGTTAACGATGGAAAATGCAAAAGGGTAATCATTTCCGAAGTATTTTGGTCTGGTCTGATCCCAGAATTACTCTTGCAAATCATAATTTTCATCTTAAAATCCAAATGATGGTAATTTGACTTCTTCAGTTTTGGTATTAAGAGATGTCAAAATGTCAGTGTGCTAGAGCTCACCCTTTTTTCTTAAAACCCTTTCATTCTCGAAAAAGAAGATTCAGCAAAAAGGGGGAACTCGAATCTAGTGAAATTTTGAGATTTTGTAATCTTAAAATTCAAATAATGGTAATTTGACTTCTTCAGTTTTGAAAATAGGAGATCTCAAAAAGTCAAAGTGCTAGAGAGACCTCAGAATTGCCCTAGCACTTTCAAATTTTGAGATTTCGTAATCTTGAAACTGAAAAAGCCAAATTGGTGGCATCATTTGGATTTTGAGGTCAATATGTTTCAAAATCATGATGTGCAAGGGTCATTTTGAGTACAGATTCTAATTCAGCAATAAAATACCTCGAAAATGACTACCCTCTTAGTTATTTTTGCTTAGAAAAAGACCAAAAATTGCATTCTTTGGACTTTTACATAAAAATAACTCAAAATCCTGACTTATTAAAACAATTCTAAAGCCAAATTCAAACTATCTGTGTATTCCTGATTTATGTTGACTTACCTGTGTTATTAATTCTAATTTTTTATAATATTTAAGCAAAAAAAAGGAAAATTTATATTATTAGATCACTATTAACCATCTCACCATTTATCGTAGTTAGTTTTGGTCCTTTGGACAAATGAAATAATGGAAAAAATGTATTTGCTGACATTGGTCATTTAATAATTAATTAATTTTTGTTTAAGAGCCCTTAGCTGTGGCGATAATATACAATTAGTTATTATTCTTAAGAAAAGCTCATGGTCTTTCATACGATACGTTTCATATTAATATTTGTTTGCTTTCATGTACTTGCTATCAAGAAATAATTATTCAGGAATGAAATGTATCTCTTAAACGATCCTGCATGAATTTATACATAATAAATTGAATTTTATACAATAATTATGTTTTATTTCTAGTTATAAGATAATAAAAGATACAGAATGAGTAATTGAGTCATTAAATAACAAAATTAACTATCAATCTGATAAATGCCAGAAAAAAAATTACAATGAACCTACGACTGAGATCATTTTAAATTTTGGTGGAGGCGCCGGGCACATTTTATTGAAATGGCCTTGAAAGTGGACCAAAATTAAGACGATTCTCAGTTTTAGTGGCATTATTTAGAAAATAATTTTACAAACAGGCAAGAAAAAGACATTTTCTAAAGAAACGACCTTGAAACTAGACAAAAATTAAGATGATTTTCAGTTTTAGTGGCATTATTTAGAAAATAATTTTACAAACAGGCAAGAAAAAGACATTTTCTAAAGAAATGACCTTGAAACTAGACAAAAATTAAGATGATTTTCAGTTTTAGTGGCATTATTTAGAAAATAATTTTACAAACAGGCAAGAAAACGACATTTTCTAATGAAAAGACCTTGAAACTGGACCAAAATTTAGATGATTTTCAGTTTAAGTGGTACAAATGTGGAATTATTCAGAAAATAACTTTGCAGCGGACAAGAAAAGAACATTTTTAATGAAATGACCTTGAAACTATACCAAAATAAAGACGATTTTGCATTTACTTAAAAAAACAATCTCGCAACCAGACAAAAATTGAGACGGTTGTCAATTCTGGTGGAGGCGCCGGGTAAATTAAAAGGCCCTTTTTTTAAACATCTTTAACACCCTGTATTTTATTAACCAATGGCTCAAATTCACGAAAAAACTGTAGATTTAACTATAGAGATAACGAACGTACGATAATAGCTGTAAAATAGCCTCAGAATCGTTTAATAAAGTTTTCAATTTTGGTGGATGCGCCGGGAAAAGGTAAACTGCGCGATTTCTGAATTTTCGAATTTTTGTATTAGGAGAGCATAAGTTACATGGGAAATTTGGACCTAGGGATTTTTGAAACTAGAGGTTGGATGAGCAATTTAAGTTGGCATTCTGATCACGCTCCGGCAGTCAAAATAAAGGGGCGGGGCATGTCAAAAAGATGAAAAAGGTCGATTTTAACGTCTTTAATAACAGTAATTAGCACATATAATTAACACAGATTGAAACAATATGATTATCCGATTCTACTGGTGTTCTTAGTTTTTGAAACAATGTACTAATAATGCGAGAAAAACAACGAACATGTTTAGAGGTTATTTGGTTATGTTTATATTGTTGTTGTGAACATCTACATCGGAATTACCGTGATTGTAGTGTTTTGGGTGATTTTTATGTATTAAAATTAACAAAACATCCTTTTTTAGGTACCAACTCATCATTATAATAAGTGTTTTGCCTATAAGTTTGTGTAAACTGCATCAAATGTACCCCTATGAATAGACATGGTGAAGACTGTGACGATAGCCTTTCCCAGTTAGCAAAACGAAACTAAGTCTTTTTTTACTGATGGAAACAATACAACTATTGCATCTTTATCTTTTAGAAAGGATCTGTTTTGCCAGTGAGTATGGATTATGTGCAAATTTCCATATGAAATTGCCTAATACTTATATAAAAACTAACCACATTGCTGCTTTAAAAAGACGATTCCTTCAGAACCTTCACTGAGAAGATATAATGCAATACATAAACGTAACAAAATTATCAAAAAGTATAGTCTCAATTAGAGATTTGGCATTATTACATGGTATTTTGCCAGAACGCTTGAAAGGCAGTGGTAGAATTGGATATGAGGTCTCTTAATGGATTATCTGCTTGATGCTTCTGTTCAGGATATGCATATAATAGATTGCAAAGCATTTACATTGTTTACACTTTAAAACGACAGGTACTTTATCTTAAGGATTATCGAGTGACTATGCTAATGAATCAATGGATAGTTGCGACTGATTACAATATTGATACTAAAAGTAAGTAATGTTTACTATTTAGATGTTATATATAATAGATTGAACTAATGTCCATTAGAAGTCTGTTACAGATATTGTAAAAATATATTGGACTTTCTGTAGCTTCAATATCTTTCAAATATATGAAAGCTCAAATTTTTTTGTAATAATCACATATTCAGAATAATACCTTACGTTTACCATACATGCTTTTACACACTTTTATGTTTTTAGCATAACAACATACTATTACCAATTTCTGGCCTCATAGCATACATTTGGTCTTGCTTTAATTGCATCTGGAGAATTACGAACACCTCCAGAGAACATGAAGACTACGCCACAATTTATATCATCATATGTTTACCTAATTATAACAGAATATCTTTCAAAAATGATTTATAACTAATTTTTAAAATTTTTGTGTTATACTCTTCATAAATTCTTTAATGTCATTGGTAAATTTATGAAAATAGTAGTATTTGTAAAATAAATTTATTAAATAAAGAGATTACATAACTGCAAATAATTTTCATTAATGCACCTTTATCAAAATCAAAAACTTTATCCATTAACATCATAAAAAGCTTTTAAACAATTTATAACACTACAAAACTTGATTTAAACATTTTGCAAGAAGTTAGTTTGTCATATTTTATTTTACCTAATACTGAATTGCAAATATGTTTCCAAATTTCAATTTAGCACATTATTCTACATTAAAAAGGGTTTTCTAATGTTTATTAAAATAGTAATTTATAAAATAATACGTAAATTACATGTCACGCAATGTCATAAATACTATTTTAAATTTTCCAATTCGTTTTAAAAAACAAATTCCATTAATAAACTAGGTTTGTATTAAGTTTCTTATTAATTTTTTGTTTATATATAACAAATTAGTTTAAAAAATAAATAATAAAATAATTTTAAAACACACAATACACTATTACTTATTCCAGTAAAACTAATATACCAATTTACCTTCAAATTGGGATTCTAGACATTATTTTGAGAAGAATTATTACTTAAAATTTTCATTAAATTGCTAACATTCAAAATAAGGAAAAATTAATTGCCATTGTCAATGGTTATTATTACAATTCGTTTAATGTTTATGAAGTTAATATGATACAAAGAATTTAAAAGCAACAAATTAAATCAAAACGTATGAACATTTGGTTTTCATGTGTTTTAAAGTAAACTTTAGAAGATATTCCTCTTCTTGTATAATTTCAAGTTAAAAAGAAAGAAAAGTTGAAATTGCCTTTCTGAAACTCCTGAATATTGGACATTTTTCTTTTTTCTGCTTTTGTAAACATTTCTTGGTGTATGTATCCCAATTCCTTTTAATTTGAAAACGTCGCAAATGTTCCGGGGAGAAAAACAGTTTTCGTGGTTTCAATTACGTTAGAAAAGGCCCATATATCAATGCTTGTTTGGAAAGTAGTAATCGATCCGAAATCCCCTAATATCCATAAAGTTTGGAAATACCTCGACGCTTGGCATTTGCAAATCCCAAGACCGTATACCAGACCAAGCAAGCAACCGCCGTCGTTTTGATAGAATTAATTAGCGCTTAATGCCCTGCATGTTACCCCAATATTACCGATGTGGCGCCTTTATGTTTTTAAAGGCAACACCACAATTAATACCTTTTCGAAGTTCAAATGGCACTGCACCGAAAAAATCATCCACTAAAACAAAACATCTACGTTTAAGTAATCAAATAAAATAGAGGTTCTTGAATAGAAAACTGGGTACAAAGAGTACAAAGTCTAATTGTATAATGTAAAAAAATCAATAGATGATTAACTGAGTAGAACTTGTATTTAATTTATTTCTCGTTCATTATTTTTGTTTGTAGTTTGGTCATACCTGATATCAAATAATCAGGTATCTAACTAATTTTCTGTCCATTCTAGATCATAGCAATTCAATTTTGCCTGCACATCTTTTTTATCATCTTCTCTACAGTTCATTGACTTCCACATCGACAAGTTCTTTTAGCTTATACGTCTCTTCTGATGTATTTATCATATAAAATTTCAGACCTCACAATAACAATTCGATGCTCACTAAGAATCTTTGAAGGCCGCCTGGAAAAAGATAAAAAATAAGTCCAAAAGCATAATTTTGAGAAAAAACATAACATAACCTAACTTCATTCAACAGCTTATTAAATAATATAACCAATAAGTTGCTTTATAAAATATTGAACAGACAAAATTGACTACAATACATACTAAACTCAAAATAAATAATTTAAATTAATTTTTAGCAATTTTTAAAAATTTACGTAATAATAATTTAAAGATTGGTAGAGCGAAGTACATGACCAACGCTGCGCGCGTGACTAACTCATGAATGCAAAGCTCAATGTTATTAAAGCAACACTGACATCTGATTGGTTGTTGCCTGCACGGCCATTTTGGAATCACTACAAACTAGGTCAAATAACACCTGCTACTACTACGGGGATTCCGCATTGGAATGTGTAAATAAACACATTCATTGATTCACAATAGACAGGTGTGTATCAATGGAAACAAAACTTCTAAATAGAATAACTTTCTTAATTTTTAATCAACTTTAATGCGGTTTTCATTAAACTTTAAGAAATTTATTAAAGATGCATATATATCTATTGTTAGTTAAGTATATAACAAAATAAGTATGCTTTTAAACCGTTTATTAGTGTTAAATCGATGTTTTTAATTCTTTTTTGTTATTAATAAATTAATTAGCACTAGATTAGTAGGAAATGTTTAAGGTAATTAACCTACACTTATGAGTAATTCTAATCGTTGTTTTATTATCTTTCGAACATATAGTTTCCGTCCAGGTACAACACAGGATTGGTTAAGTATTGTGAAGATAAAATTGCACTTTCCTGAGGTAGTTAATTTCAACTATGCATTATAAAACTTCCCACGAACTACGGAACAGGATGTTACGAAGACAGGGAGTTAAAATACTAGAGATAGGTATTACGGCAAGAGACAAGAACAAGTAGATTGAAAAACTAATTTGAGTTTTCATTCATTTATTTAATCTATCCGGAAAGCGAATTACCTTTCGTTTATTTAACGTTTTCTGTTAGGAATCTAAATACTCTGTAAAGTTTTTAATAACGACAGCTGAAAGAGCATTTATTTCTTAATAATTCATTCAAAACTTATTCGTTAGAAAACTCTTTGCCGAACAAAATTGAGTTTCAATATTAAATCAAACGCAAAAATGTTAGAAAATGGCATTACGAAAATAGTAAGTAAACGACATGTTTTAGGAAATATTTGAGTTTCAAAAAATCCATTACACAAGATAAATGAAAATGTTTTGAATTAAATATATGTAAATATCTTTAAACTATCTTCAAATGATTTATATTGAGTTATATGAACTAGTGGGATTAGATCAAGATAGGAAAAAGTGGAGGTACGTGTTCAACCAGTCTTAGGACTGACGATCCTGTGCTGACGATTATGATCATAATAAATTAGAAGTAAATGTGATTTTTTACCAGGGAGGAACTGTTGTGCTTTCATCCCTGAATTCAGGAGAAACATTTCATACGGTATCCCTTTAATTTTCAAATAAATTGAAGTCGGAGCGAATATTAAGGGATAAATATTTTATTTAATTGAAAATCAAATTTAACGTTTCGCCTATGAAACTTTCAAGCTCGTATCTGACTAATTTTTTGAGCTCGTTATTGCAATGACTAATTTACTCGTACGTAGCAATAAAAAAATTCTTTATTACAATAATTGTACGATTACCGAATGTTTCGGAATTATCGGTAGTAATTTTACAACCCAACTGCTCCTTTCCAGAGGGATTATACAAAACGAATAAGCCGCCGGATAAATGCTTAGACACCGCGGTGTTAAGTGCGCGTATTATATGTATATATAGGCACATACGTAGTAGAGAGTGCGATGCCTGGCGAACTTGCCTGATAAATGGGTTTTGCACTTAAACCCGAGCAAAACCGTTTCACTTTAATCGCATCCTATCCCTAATTAAATAAGCCTTTTGGGGAACGAATTATCGAAGACGAGTCATTAAATCATTCGTGTGCCTTATTTACTTCTCCCTATTTAGTCGTAATTTGGCTGCTAGACCGGATTTTCTCGAATAAACTGATGCCAAAATGTTTTTTGTTCAATATCTTAACTGACTTAACGTTATCTAACAATAAATACAATTACACAGGTCTGCGAATTTTTTTTTTTTTTGAAAAGGTTTTTTCTTAAATTGTTAATATTTGTCGTAATTGCCTTAAAAGTAATAGAAAACGATATGTCTATGATTTATATCACGTCACATTAACCCATAAATGCTCAGAGAACACATTTCCATTTGAACCCTTGCCACGTAATGAGTACGACGAAAAAATATTCGATAACCAGTGTTTTTATGTTTTTATGGTGTTAGTTAAAGTTACCTCCGACAATATTAAAGCATGGAAAAATCGAAAATAAACAAAAAAAACTGATTTTTGAATTGACTTTTTTCTTAAAAAGTAATTTTTTGTGTCCTTACGATTTTTTTATATGTTTAAAACCTATGTAGATCATGACCTCGATATCTAAACATGAAATAATCACCGTTGGTTAATTCGAAATGCCTTTACAAACTGTTTGATCAAACCAAGTTTAAAGTAAAGTGGTGGAAGCAATACTTTTTCGGGATCATTCAAACTCTTATTAATTGACATTTTTCACTCCGACTTCCAATTGCATTCTAATTTGAACGTAGAAATACCGAATAACAATGATTTTGATTTACCATAAGTCCACTGTCTTAACACTTCAATACATAACCGGCATATTTTATCCTAACCCTGTGTTTATCTTGTTGACACAACTTCGTTTTTAAGTAAGCTTAATAAACATTTTTTACAAAGTTTGTTATATTCAATCTTTGCTTAACTATTGTATATTGTCTGCAAATGTAAAAAAATTATATTTGAATTGTTTTAACAACTCCGAGAAGCCATAGTTAAAGATAAATGAAACACAATCTTTTATTACACGTTAATATTCTCTCTCAATAATGGCGCGCTATAAACTGTTTATTTTTCATCAGGCGGTGTAAATGACTATAGTTAGGTACTTTCAGACTATCTAAAATAAAGTAAAAGACAATATAATGCTCAGTCAGAGAGTATTAAATAGAAATATAAGCTATAATATGAATTTTGTGAAAAAACAAATAAATTTGCCGACTCAAAGAGCTTTATATATACATAAATATATTAATCTACATACAAAAAAAATGTGACGTGATACGTTAAAACAAAGTTTATATTTGCAAATTATAGACCAATATTTACATGCTTAAGATAAATTTATACAAAAAACTTTTTTATCGCAGACCTGTGTTATTTGCTTAAATACAGACAATAAAAAGACTCCCACAACGAATAATTAAGCTTTTATTGGCAAGAAAAGGTCTCGTCGAACTTTTATGGAAGAAATTTAGAAAAATTTTTTTAAAGTGTCATATCTGAGGCTGGGAAAGTAAATTTACAGTTCATTTTACAACAGTTTTTTACAAGCCTAGATACGATTTGAATAATTAAGCACGAAATTTTTAATCGATAAATACAACTATGTACCTTATGATCGATCGACTTTCCGATAACACGAGAGTTCATTTTTGGTTATTCGTTGAATTATTGACCCGAACAAAATCATCGACGACGAACTATTCGTTCCCAAACATAAATTTGAGAGCATTTATACGGATGAACGAACGCCACTTCCTGGAGGCAACCCATTAAGGCGAAGCTAATGTTTTCGGAAACGGTGACACGGTCGAAGGAACAACTTTGTCTTTCTCGCTCTCTCTTGATAGGTATGTATTCTTCTTTATTCTGCACTTATGCACTTCGTCCGTGGCTTTTTCCTTGTTAAGGGCCAATGCAATTGCACTTTTGGCGCTATATAAAGTGTTTCTGCATGGGTTTTAGGTAAAGTAATCGTATATCTAGTGGGATCGCAATTAAAGCAGCAGTAATGGACTTGGACGGGTTCCTTCTGTCCGGCTTATTTTATATCTCAATTTCGAGGTTGCATTAAAGACGACAGCATGATTACAACTATAATGTTGCAGCTAGGGTTGCCACCCGTACTTTATTATAAAGTATTGTACTCTATTTCGACTGTGCGTATGTTATACTTTACAAGACACATAAAGTACGCTAAAATACTTTATTTAAGGCATTAAGTAAACGTCGTAATTTTGTAAGCGATTATTCGAAATTCAGAGTACTTTTACATCAATAATATTGCACACAAAAATGGCAAGCCATATTTACCTGATTTCCCAAATCTGTTCAAGGTAGTGTCACTTTTGCTGTCCGTTCCGGCCACTTCAGCATTTACAAAAAGAGTATTCTTTGTTATGAACGCAAAGTGGTGGGACAACAGGAATAAAGCTTCATTAAAACTAATTAAAAATGAACTTTTAGTTTACTTAAATCTTTGTTTACCATGTTTAGAGGCTATTAATGTATTTAAGAGCTACAGCAATTTGTTACTGGCTGCTAGGTGTAACAAAAAATATGTTTTTAAAAACAAAATATTTTATTTAACTTTATGCTGAGTACTTTCTTTTTTTACCTTTTAGTCGAGAAATACTTTATGTAAAGCCTGAAAAGGTGGCAACCCTAGTTGCAGCCCCTAGAGTCATCCTAACCAGTTTGCATAAATATCAAAACTAATATTCTGGGAAAAACAAACTTCAAGTCGATATTTGCACTGAAGAGAATTATTAACACGTAATCGATACTTGTCTGTAGTAATAAAATTAACAGAAATTGGAAAAAGGATTTCTTTTTCATAAATCGTCGAAGATGTCTAATAATCCCAACTAATATTATAAATACAAATGTGAGTTTGCTTGTTTATTACCTTTTCACGTCTTAACTACTCAATCGATTATCAAGTTTTGTACATACATACATTTTCAGGGGTACAAAAAAAACATAGGGTACCTTTTATCTGTTTCCAAGGGACAGAAAATTTTCTTTTCATCTCGATAAAGAAGGAGAATATTTACTATAATTCTACGCAAAGTGTATGTTTAACCTAGAAAATTACAACTTTAGTTTTGTCTTGATGATTTTGGTAAAGACTATTTATCAAATTATTGTATTTTCGAAGACATTTGACACGTATTTAGAATATCAACACGAGCGACGTCCCGGGTGAAAAATTATATAAAATAAACATTGTTGAGTTACATTGTTATATTGGGTGGGGAAGTTTTCCCAAAATGTAATTTGTCTATCAGTGCAATTAATTCCAATTTATTATGTAAAAATACAAACATTTAAACGAGACCATCTACGATTTGTTAATAGAATGTATAAATGTAAATGAGTTACGCTTGAATATTCACTCAAGTATTACGTACTTCAAGTAATTCCAAGACGATTTCGTAGCCATTTCCTCCGTAATTTACTCTCCTACTAATACGGTGTTCATAATTGCATACTTAAACAGAATTGGAAGTTGTGCGAAATAGTTTTCGCCCGTCAGCAAAAACGTTAACTACAAGGCTTCCTGTAGACTTTCGGGGGGGAGGGGGGCGAGAGCAATACAAAATGTAATAGAAGTAGGAAAGCTGTCCCTGTGAAAGCGATGCGATACGATGTTCGTGCGACAGGGTATACACGTGTCACGTCTTCGAATAAATATCCTTTCGGACGGGTTCACCGTCGCATAATTCACGAGAGAAATGCCCCGTCATACTCGGTTGAGAAGTTGTTTGAAAAGTTTCCCCCGTTCGGCCTGGAACGAAAATGCATTCATACACATACACACATGCACGAATACATGTATATATATGTAAATATACAGACAGACCCGGCAAGTAGGTAGCGTCGCGTCTCGTCGCGATGTGACGCGTCGCCGTCGCCCCATACACAGCGCGCCGAGGTTCGTAAGCGAGCTTTCTCACTGTTGCTGCTGTTGGATGTACTGATGGCGATGGTGGTGCGCGCCCGCCGCCGCCAGATTTGATGCCCCGTTCGTGTAGGTATTTGATCGATATTGTGCCTCCTTGTCATAAACAATACGTAGGCAATAAAATTAAATCTGCCGCGCGCGCGAATCGATATTCCATTAGTGCCCGAATGATGTCATTTAAACTGACATGATTGACTGATGTTTTGTCGTCTGCAATTGGCAATTATAAAAACATTCGAACAGTTGGGACCGCGGTCTCGTTGTTGTCGATGACGTTGCCACTGCTGGTGGTCGCATTTTGAAACGACCATCCCTACCGATGATGAGGACGTCTGAACAAGCTGTACCGTTTTACCCACCATATAATACCTACGTTGAATAGGTCAAAAGAGCACTCACCCATTTCAGTTTATTTATAATTTTAAATATAATTACAGAATAGGTATATATTTTACTTAATGGATTTGGAAAATTTGATAAGATCTGACTGTAGTACGCAAGACAGATAAGCTAAGAGGAAGTGTTAAATAAAATATAATTTTGGTGACACAACCTTTTGAAAAATGTTTAACCGTTCGGCTAAATCTACATCATCTTCATAAGGTCGTCAGTTCTAAAACTGGTTGGACACGTACCTCCACTCTTTCCTATCATGAGCTAATCTTCGTATTTCCCTAAAACTAGAATATCCCACATTCTTAACATTTTGTGAACAGTAATGAAATCTAGGTCTACCTCTACTTCTCCTAACTCCTGTTTCTGCCTCTAATATGTCTCTGACTAGACCTTCATTGCCTGAGAAGGTGTCCTACTAACGTATGTCGCCTTTTTCTTATTGACTTCCATACAGTCCTCTGTTCTCTTATTCTTTCTAATACCTCTTCATTTCTAACATTCTCTATCCACGGTATCCTCATCATTCGCCTGTAACACACCACATTTCGAACGTTTCTAACATTTTCTTTTCCGCCGCGCCCACCGTCCATGTTTCGCACCCGTACAGCGCCGCGCTCCAAACATACACCTTTAACAACCTTTTCCGAATTTCTAAATTAATCGTTCGCGAACATAGAAGTGACTTCTTTTTATCGAATTTATCCTCTGCTTTATATCCCTACTACTCCTTCCGTCCTGACTTAACTGACTTCTCTGCTTTTTATTTTAAGAACAGATTTAATTTGTAGATATGGACGAGATTGCTAAAACATTAAAACAGATAGAATCGTTACTTATTGCATTCCTGCTTTTAGTTCGATTTATTGTATATATGCAGGAAAAAACGAAGAAAAAATTAAGTCACTAAAGCCTCCGTGTTTGCATTTTTAATAAAATATATACCTAACAAACCCGTAACAATTTCTATAACGAATACAATAAATTATACTTTTTCGTAAATAAACATTTAGGTGTATATGGAGATCGATCGATTGATAAAGACCAGCAACGAACAAATACTTCACGTCCGTGGGGATTATGTAAGATACAGAAGGAAGCAAACCCTTATCAAACGTGTAATCTTGATTAGGGCATTCTTAGCATTTTCGTGAGAAGAAAAAGGTCGAAGGAGGCGCGGCATGGCGGCGGTAACTTCCCTAAACGCTCCGGTGTAACGGTAACCGGCACATTTTCGGCAAGGATCAAGCTCAACGTCAACAGCCACCGTTCAAACCGATGATAAATGATACAATGCTTCAGTTGAGCGCGGAATGATTAATTAATAACAAGCGAAAATATTCTGTATATAATGAAAATTTATATTTGTTGGAGTCATTTATCTGCATCAGTCGGTACCACGCTGGCACTGCCGTCGCGCTGCCTGTGCGACGTGGAAAAAACAAAAAAGCTCGAAACGTGCTTTCTTTCTCTCTATAACACTGAACAGAGAGACGCGTAACGGCAACAACAATTCTAAATCGCTTTCGAATGAGGTCGATCGGAAAAATTAATGTTCGAATCGTGAACCCGATCGACATTCGAAGAGTCCAAATTGTCGAAGTTCCACTACTACCTACTAGCGCTACTGATTTTCACGAAGCTGCTTACAATGGATAGATTAATCTACAAACAAGTGTAAGCCATTCTTTTTATACCAAACGGTCGAATAATACTTTGATCCAGTAGCGGCTCGTTATGAAATAAAACGGGTATTCTATAAATCTTTACCAATTTTCTGAAAGTTAATATACTCCTTCATAAAACTTAGATCTTTTTACAAATTCGAATGGCGATTTTTATTCTGAATCATTTCTAATGTGTACATCTCTCATTCACTCGTAAGTAAATATCAATGGTTCATATAAATTACCATCAATTTTAGTGATTTTTAATTATCAAATCAGCAAAAGGTGCATTATTATAGAAGGTACAAAATTATTGTCGAAACCTTTAACTTACCTTTAAATCAACCTAGAATTTTAATGATACAATAAAATACAATGTGTTATATTTAAAACGTATTTTCGGAATTCCGGAAGTTTAACCTAATTGAAAATGTTTTATATTAAATAATACAACTTCTCAAAATTCTATCGAAGGACTTCTGTGTTTATAACTTGTAACAGGAATGCAGGATGATTCAGAAAAGATGGATGTAAAAAGCTTTTATTAATTTTCTTTATTATTACTGATTGAAGCAACTGAAAACTTACCTCGATGCCGATTCGTTTGTTTGTCGAACATTAGCATAGCGTCTTCTATCTGAAACAAAATGAAAGTAACTTAATCGTAGTTATAGGTTAACTCGACATGAACAAAAAAACAATAAAACACATTAAAATCGAGTGGTTTTCATTAACATTCATATAACTTGCTTTTGCATGAATAAATAAATGGGCATGATCGATTCGACGTTTAATGCCGACGACAGGGATAGGATGGCGCAGTATTTTATGTTAGGGTGGTTCTGTTGCGCCCGTTATTTTATAGTGAAATAAGTGAGAGTCGATTTTTATACTAAATAGGTGAATTTTATGTGTATTAAACCAAATTGACAGGTGGAATAGTTGTGATTTGGTTAAATTCATGGTATCGTGCAATTTTGTAATCAATTCTGCCACTTAGGTATAATGCCATGCCATATCTACCCACTTGGAGTGCTTGATTATGCAAATGTATCAATAAAAAATTTATTTAATGATAAGTACCTACAACCACATAGAGATGTGCCAAACTTTCCCCTGTTGGAGAGAATAAAAAATACAATTTTACATAAACTGATTAATTAACTAAGTACTCAAAATACAGAATTTATAAATAAAGAAGACTCCCCTTTAAAAATATGTTCATTTTTTGTACGTACTGTTGTTTGAGACAATAATTTAATTTTAATAAATTACACGATTAAAACGAGTGAAATGTGCAGATAATTGTTTCACAATTAAATACACTGCTTTGAAGCAATTACAATCAATTGTCACAAGTAATATGATAGTAATGTTTCATAGTTGATTTAAAATTTTTTATTTGTAAAATAAAATCCCTCGGAGTATTAATGTAATGCTTCGCTATGATCAGATGACATAGTTCATACCTACACTGTCGACGAGTTTTCGGTAGTTAGTCTACCTACCCCTATAGTCAACCATCCCCGGTCTCCCCTAATGTCGTTTCTGAAGAAATAGGGAATACAAGAATTTCCTTTCCATTTCGTTCTAACAAAAATATCAACAGACATTAAACGCAGTCGCATTACAGCCACTGCCACATTCTCTCTGTATGTATGTTCGACTAGTGATCCCAACAAATCAAACATCGTAATTTCTAATTAAAAATTCCAATTCATCCTTTATTTTTATTAACTAATTTCAGAACGTGCTATTATTAAAGGAGATAGCCGCACAAATTTTCTTTACAAACATAAAAATCGAACGCTGGAAGCATGTAACAGAAAAACAGTATTCGTTTCATTTTCTAAAACATTTAAATTTCATATTCATTTTCCTATGTGCGATAGAGAACAAAAGGTAATTACAATGTCACGTGAAACAGGATGAAAAGTAGGTACATATGCGCCTCTCTTTAAGCTTTTTCTTTCGGTCGATATCAGTTCTCTAATAGAACTTTTCAGAGCGGAAAGATTCGAACGGAAACGTTACTTTTAGATTAACGTAGGTACATGGGAAGAGGGAGAGAGACAGTGAGAGGGAACGTTACTATGTGCACAAGAACATCTTACGGATGAATAGACCAATAGACGTAACAATCCCCTGAATTCAGATTCACTTGGCGAACGCACAGCAAGAGATATTTTTGTGATTAAATTCTATTGTTAGAATCTATTATCCGACATATAGGTAACATTCGTTTTGATTTCTCTAGTTGAAAAGCAGAAAAAAATTATTCTCAACTAGCTGACTACAACGCTCAATTGTGTTAATGTTCTCATATAGACACTGGAAACAAACCATCACACACACCAAACAGAACAAATATTGAACATTATAGAAGATATCAAACAGCTTTCAGAACCCTGGTCGAAATAAATATAATGTGTTAATCTTAATAATATAGTGTTAGAAGTCATTCCAAACACATTGATTCTCGAACATCTCAGAATGTCCTCGATCTTCCAATCTAGTTCATTCTCAAAAATTGTAGCTGAGGGCATTTCTAGTTCCAGTGAAATTCGAAAAAAGAAACAATCAAGAGCATTCTAGTGCAGGTGATCCCACCTAGATTGGAGAAATATCGTCCATTCCAAACATTTTTTATTTAAAGTACTGATTAAATTATAAGAAAGTTTACTGATATAGATATAACTCACAGAAAGGAACTTGACCATTTCGAAAAGTTCTAGAGATCATTCTATAGCTAAAATCAACGCTAGAAACATTCAATGACACTCTTACGTATTCTAAATTGGTTTTTGGTGTCTGGTAGTCGACCCGCGAACCCACATGTACTCACCAAACATTGGTCAAAATATAAAAATACCCTACGTCATCCATTTCTAACCACCACAGCTACCAATATACAACCACCATAGTGCGCAACGGGAGACATACAGACACCGATGGTCTGCGATGGGTATGTTTTGGCTATAAAGTGAAACATACAGACAGACGTCTACTTTTATTTAGACATGTACATATATACTGTTTGCACAGGTTAATGCGACTACCACAAAAAAAAACTTTTTAACTTTTATTTATGCTTTGTACACCTTTTATTATCAGTATTCGGTTTCTGAAAATAATATTTTGGAGGAATTTTGGTTAGAATAGCAATTCCGTTCCCGGAAGATTGTTCAATAGGTTTTTTTTTTTCTGTGAGATCGGTGGTATAAAGATGAGAAAGATTTAGATACTGTTGAATTCAGTCGGTCTGAGGTTGATAGAAATAATTCCAATTCCGTAAAAGGGAGGTAATACGCAGATAACAACGAGCAAATTGGTTCGCATTGGCGGCGATAAAGTGCAAACGGAGGCTGGAAAATTCTTCGCGAAGAAGTTCGCCGTTACACGTTCGATTAGGCGAGAAGAGAAAAGAACGAATCGGCCATTCGGAAAGCAATAGCGTGCTCGAACTGGTTGAAGAATAGAAACCCTTACATCCATCTAAAGATTTCTTTCTTTCGTTTCCTAACTTTTTTTCATTCCTCTCCATTCACCGAAAGAAGATTCAGTTCGATTCGAACTAAAAGTTTTAATAGTTTATTTACCTTGAGCGCCGCGCGAGCTACTATTTCTCGAAGGTGTCGTAAAGCCGCTCTTGCTAATGCACGTCTTCTTGTGGATGTCTATGAAATTGCTCCCGGGACACTGGTGGTGGTCCCTTATCGATAAAACTTCCATTCGTCTGCCGCACTATTTTGATGCACGACACAAGACTACCCACTACTACCCTACGTACACCGGATCGACACATCGAGGCACAGGCAACGTTAACAGTTGCACAACGTTCCATTTCCGGTGATGTTACCGCATCCATCGGTTGGTGTGTCGACAAAGATCCATCAATAAATTTGCACAATGTATTTCACCGAATGAACTTTACAAAAGTTCCACATTGAAACTTCCGTAGGAACGTGCGCTCTCTATTCGTTGAATGATCGATTGTCCATTTGGAAAGAAATATGAAGTTTGATCTCGTGTACCTACTGTTAAATTCACTTCAATTAAGTACCTACCAGGCGTCAGAGAATGGGATTGATAAATGTATGTTCCACATATGAACCTTTTCACTATCACTACGTCGATCAGTGGCGGCTCTTGGAAAAGAGCAAGTATGCAATTGCACCCCTTTGGATTTTGAAACAAAACAAATGAAGCAGCGGATGAGTGTGAAAGTTAACATAAATATTGTTAAGTAATCATTATCAAAGTCATAGATAGATAACAAATGTGAAAAAAAAAATTCCGTACCTACAAACTACAGTAAATCTATTGATCAGTCCTTGTATATAAGTTGATTTATGACCGCCTGCAAAAGACTAAAACAGTGATATAGTTAGTACTGTGTTCTATTCAAACGTTAACATCACAGTGAAGATGAGGAAGTATTTCGACCTTCTTCAATGGTACATCGTTTCTCATAACTGCACAAGTTGTGAATGGTACGAAAATTCGAACTGGGCATTTATCACAAAAATGGGTGAATTAAAAAGTAAAGTGTAATAATCCCAATAAAACTTGGATAAGCGTTTCTTTATTAAATCTAATACTAATTTTAAAATTGCGCACCCCTTCTGTGGATCACCCACCCTTAGCCGCCATTGATATCGATGGAAACTATTAAAAAAAGCATTATTGTTCTATTATGCCTTTCCTACATTCTTTTTTTATTCACCGCACTGTTTACTATTGTTATTCATTCCTGATATTTTGAGCTCCAACCCAATGCGATACACAACTGGTTTATATTAAACCTAAAGAAAATATTTTACAATTTATTTATACTTCGTTAACTTTCTGTAGCGATGTGCGCCTTCCAATGTCTTGGATGCACGCTGGCAAAAACGTAGGTAGGGAGAAAAAAACTCATTATACTCTCGACTCTTGTTAATTAAACATACTTCTTCATACAGTACCTGCCAAAAGTTTTGTTCAATCATGAATAGTCGTGCGAGTCGAAAACAAGCGTTAAAGCCTTTAATATGTCTTCAAATATAAGTAAACATCTCGTTGAAATTTCAGTAGTCATTGGTACCAATAACAGCACATTTGAGCAATGCAATTGTAGCGGATAAAATGGTTAATTTTTCCGTGCAGTACTGTACGGATTACACGCTCCTCACGGGTTAAGAGTTTGGCCGAGAGTTGTCTCCTTCCTTTTCTGGCCTAGTGCTGTTCTTTTCTACTTTGCGGCGATCATACTAAAGGTCACATCGCTACAGAAACTAAACGAAGCATACAATTCACAGCTTTTTCTTCGCTTATAAATTACAACTTGAAGTCCCACAGTTCCTTTAACCCCACTCAGTTTTCCTGATTTGATATTTATTTGAAAACTGAAGCAATGTATACTTCACATTATCTATCTCCCTGAACCAAAATACTTTTATTTCTGTTGTACAAATCTCGTTCGTTCAACTAAGGAAGGGAAAAATATCGTTTGACGTTCGCGACGTTTCTTTAAACGGATTTCAGTATCGTTTTCCAAGCGATACGTTAACCCAATTCGAAGACCTTTGAGGCCGCAGCCACAATTTTATACCATACACCACAACGGAATTCGTCAGGATGAGGATAACGAAGTTTGCCATAAAGCAATTTTGATAATGCCACGCCGTCGCGGATACATCTATCAATCCGTTGCCCTCCTGGCTGGGTCACGCTGGTCGATCGTTCGAGAGTTAAAAATTAAATTCTTGCTATTTCTTGACGAACCTCCCATAAGGGATACAGGATATCTACAAGCCCTATTATTACTCATACTGGATACCCAAAGGGAGACCTTAATTGTAACATAGTAATCGTCCTGGAGACGTTTATCTTGGGAAATCAACCAGCAAATATGAAATCCGGAAAGCTTAATGTCTACTTAGTACCTATCATAGATACCGTTACTACAGAGAATTCTAAATTAATCCATTTCACTTAAAATTTAATTACTATTAAAGTATGTATATACCTTAATATGAAGACAGCATTCAATGATAAATATATACTGTACTATGTACAAAAATGTGCCATGTACCTGCGATATAAAGTAGGTTATGGATGAAAAAATAGGGAAAGAGCAAATATAAAGCTAGGAGACGAAAAATTAGAAGAAGTGGCCGATTTTAGGTATCTAGGAAGTCAGATAAGTCAGGACGGAAGGAGTAGTAAGGATATAAAGCAGAGGATAGCGCAAGGTCGAGTCTTCAATAACAAGAAGTCATTTCTATGCTCGCGAACGGTTAATTTAGAAATTCGAAAAAGATTCTTAAAAGTGTATGTTTGGAGCGCGGCGCTGTACGGGTGCGAAACAAGGACAGTGGACGCGAAGGAAAAGAAAAGGTTAGAAGCGTTCCAAATGTGGTGTTACAGGCGAATGAGGAGGATATCGTGAATAGAGAAGGTTAGAAATGAATAGGTATCAGAAAGAATAGGAGAACAGAGAACTTCTATGGAAGTCAATCAAAAGTAGGCGAGATAGGTTGGTAGGACACCTTCTCAGGCATGAAGGTCTAGTCAGAGACATATTAGAGACAGGAGTTAGGAGGGATAGAGGTAGACTTGGATTAGATTACTGTTCGCAAATAGTTAAGGATGTGGGTTGTTCTAGTTTTAGGGAAATGCGAGGATTAGCTCAGGATATGAATGAGTGGAGGTGCGTGTCCAACCAGTCTTAGGACTGACGACCTTATGATGATGAATGGAATCATATTCTTGCAAAAAATAAAGACGATTTATTAAAATTGAAATTAATGTCTGTTTTTGATTCAAACCCTTTATTTGCAAGGGCAAAGAAAGGCATTAATCACCTGAGCAAAACTTCCGGCGTGGCCCTGGATTATATATAAGCATTACGAAACAGAAAGGAACTTTTGATTCTTCGTTTCTTTTTTGTTGTTTCGAATGCGTTTTGGAGAAATAGAAATTAATCTAGGTTTGCGGTGTAGTTGATACGTAAATAAACGTGGGGGTCGTTGATGGCAATGGTAGGCGGTGATGTGGCATATTTAACGGGAAATGAAATAGAGGGCGAAATGATGAAAACGAAAACATGCGTATTCGTATATATCGGAACGTAATTTAGCCGTTTTCCGATGGTACACAGCGGCGGAATTACGTGCCAAACTTTATTCGGCACGTCCGGAAATAAAGTTCGCTTTATGTCATGTAAATTCTATGGATTTATATTAGTCGAATATAAAGTTGTCCGCTGCTATTGGCCGACAATATAAAACGATTTAATGTTTAACTGTCACCACCATCTATATCTATATAGATAGACATATATATATATGGTACACGATTTCTATCCGATAAACAAATACATCTGCATGTGCCCGTATTGATGTTTATGTATGTATTTATCGGTTTTATGATGTACTTCACATGTAAACGATAATTCATTTATTTACCGGCGCATTCAATTACGAATGAGTGTTTGTCACAGTACAATCAAAACTTTTTCTTCAAAAACCGACCGAACGTCGATTACAATAAATAAGGCAATAAATATTAATGCAATTTGGCATTGTCGGTAAACCATTTCGTTAAAATCGTGTTAATGTTACCGTTATCTCTGGCCATTTGAACGATTTCAAATAAAATTTTCAATTCAAATCGATCGACAAACGTAAATAAAGCAATTCATTTATGTAAATGAAGAAATAAAAACAAAATTATATAATGTTTGATCTTCATCAGTCAGTAATGTACATATCGTCAGGGGCCACCTATTTAAATAATCATAATTTCGTAAAAGTGTACAAGTCGTACTTAACTTACAATTTACAATTTTAATATCTAAAATTTTGCTAAACCTTTATATGATTGACATGTGAGACCTTTTATTTTAATTATCAACAGAATAAACTTTGAACTTGAAATGATAAATCACACGCGCAAGGTAAAAAGAGAAGTATCCGAAAATTGAAGAGCATCCAAAATAAAATTATCTATTGATACTTCTTCTCCAACAAGATGACAACTTATGTTTAACTTTTAAGCTGGTATTAATTTTCTTATTTTTATTGAATACTATCCCTTTAAAAATATGGTAGGGCTTACTTATCGTAAATTAGGTGGAATATATCGTAAAGCTGGCACCATTCGACTAATTTTCAAAGCTAAGCCTTTCATATAAAAAGGAAACATCCCAATTTCTCAAATGTTTCAGTTCATTCTCTTTAGTAGAACGCACGATACTTTGAGGAGCTCTTTCCCAACGCTCTTCAATTCCTTTTGTTTCTATGGGTCCCATGTGAAACACGAGATATAACTTCCTTTTTACGCACATCTCTGTCTCACATGGGAAATAGTTCGAAAATTATAAATTATTTTCTTTTTCACTTTCGTCTTGTGAGAAACAGGTAGCTTCCATGAAATATAAATTTTTTTAAAAGCAAAAGTAATTTTTGTAACATACTTGTTCGAAATATTTTCAAATAATAGTCTTTTCCATCTTTGGCACAAACAAGAACATATAATGATAATAACGTGACGCATTACAATAACATGTATTTTTGAATCGCTTTTTTCATTAAAAAAAAAAACAATTAAAAATTACAACTATCCAACGGGACTAGGAGTATTAACACAGATGTACATAAATAATTTTTAGATTTCAGTTTCTGATCTGACT